GCATGAACATCGTTTTGTGAGATTTAGTCGAAGACCAATCTTTCCACAGACTTTATCAAAGTCGGCAAACATTCGTTCCGCTTGACTAACGTTTGGTGTTATAAGGACGATATCATCACCAAAATAAAGATGGTGTAGTTACCAACAATTGATTTTCGTTTCCGATCTTGCTCCATTTAATAATTTTGGCGAAATGCTATGAACTTGCCGAACCCTTGTTTTTACTTGAAAAGAAAAAAACGTAGGTATGTATGTTTATACAGTCATGGAATGGTCAAATGTTGGCTCTGAATTTTTTGTGTAGCTCACGAAGATTCTTCATACACTGAGTAGAGACTCCCGGACTATCCAGAGCTCCCATGACTGTTTCTTTCTCAGTTGGGTCAAGGGCCTGTTTTTGTTACTATTTGTTTGCTGCCTTTTCGTACTGGTTATGAAAGGTTTTTTTTGAACAGTATTTAGAGGAATATAACTGGTATATAATGCTGAGATATTTGCAAAACTCCGGACCGCAGGTGTATGCGGTGGGGAACGAACGCGCCCTATTGTCCTTTCCGGGGAGTAGCGCACTTCACCACCACACCATCCGGCTCCTTCGTTTTGCTTTTCTCTGAGCTAGTTCTATTGATCTTTTACTATCAGCAATCACCCGTCAACGGGATTGATCTGGGGAGCCCAAATCGGCATTGAACCCAGTTAAGCTGTAGTTATAGTTTTGCAAATATCTCAGCATTATATACGGGTTATATTTCACAACATACCCTACCATTAAAAAGAAAAAGGCAGTAAATAAAAGGGTTAAGAGTAGTATTTAGAGGTGTACAAAACACAAGCATTTCAAGAGCGAACTTTCCTTTAACTTCGACTTGGCTAATCAATGTTTTTTCACTGCTAATCTGTCACTAGTTTAATGAAGAATACTGTACTAAACCAACTTTCACTTAACATCGGCGTGAGCAATCAGTACACTTGTTCGGATTGTTCAGCTTACACGATGTTGGTAAAAAGGTCTATTCGGTTGCGTTTCTCCGTGTTGGTCTTCTTCGAAGTATTATATGGCCACACACGTTTTGTTATCGATGCTTGCTCTCTTGGATCCCGAAGATGAGATTAATTTCGAAAATCAAATCGTTGCATTCTGACTAGATGTTGTGTATGCCGGTTATATTTCAGAAGACATCGTTCAAACACTCACTAGTGCGCAGTATTCTTGACGTGATTAAATTATCGGTTCACCTCTTCGCTGCATAACAGAGCGCTGGGTGGACTATTGAGCGCGGATTTTTGGGTCCTTTAGCTGATCGGTGATTTTTTTAAGAGGCCAGTGCGGCCCATGCTGCCCTCCTTCCTTTATCGAATTCCTCATTCATGTTGTTCTCCATGTTCACTGAACGCTCGAGGTATACACACAGTTTGATCTATTCACTTAGCACAGTGGGTTTTTCATGAACTGGGTCTTCGTTTTATTTATGCACACTTCAGTTTTCTTTCCCACTTCGCTGAATTCACTATGCATCGTCTCTGCTTCACAAGTACTTCTTCAGAAGATAGCGATCCTATTGGTATGGTAAGCATTCGCTTTTTCGTAGTTATTAGAAGCACGCTGCAATACACATAGGGGTTCTATCATGCTTCCCAGGCTCACCAAACCTTCCGCTATTCGAAGTTGGCAATTTGGCACCAGATTTGTTTGGGAGGATAGCAGCACTGGCTCGATACACCGGTAGGCGGCGGCGAGTAACTGTATAGGCCAGCCATGGATTCAGTCATCTTGGACAATGTAGAAGCTTTACCTTTTCTATGAAGGGCACTTGTGGTGCAGTGGTTGGAGGCGCCACTGCGACACACATGTGGAATCGGTCCCCGCGCTCATGGCCCACCAAACTTTCCATCCCTCACAATCATCTCCAACGATACTTAATGAAGTTGAATGCATGGCGCATCACTCAGCGATTGGTTAACGCCAAAAGCTTCATCCATTTTATCTTTTTTATGGTAAATGGTCTATGGAAAAGCTGTATTTTCGATCCACGTTTCGACGGATTTCGGTGGAATTCGTAAAGAAAAAGCGAGGTTACAGCTGTACCCAAATACGTATCCGAACACCTTCGCCGATCACAAATGCAGGATAACAATCCACGTGGAAGTGCTTGCATGCGCATTTATGTTCCAGTGTTTGGAAACAGTCCATGGGAAATAAAGAGCGAACTGGAAGTTACCATGTACTGAAACTGAGACGCAGGATTCAGAAGTGTCTCATTCTGTGATGTGCTGGATTGAGCTTTGGCCACGTTCTGTTCGAAGCTTATTCAATTGGAAATTTAAGTTTTGCTATAATTTATGTACTGACATTGTGTAAGTATTAAACGTAGAGAGCTTACTCTTAATAAAATCAGTAGATAACCTTTTCGAAAGATAGTAGTTTAGAATATAATAGAAACCGTAGTTGTCTCAGTCTTGAAACAGTATGCTCAAAAATGTAGCAAACTAATTCTTTGCTCCATCTTTTTAGCTGAAGACATTTAGAATTGCATTGACCAGTTTCCTTTTCCCTCTTTAAAGCAGAAATCATTTTCGCCTATCTTCTGTTCTAATAGAAGCTAATGAAGCATAACATTTTTTGGTGGAATCTACCGGAAGTCTTCAGCTAAAAAGATGCTTCTCCATAATTGTTTACGTTAAAGAATATAAATGAGAGTGGTAGGAGTGCACTTTCCTGTAATAAAGCGACTTGAAGGCAGTTATTGGATTATTGTTAACAAGCATTGCGTTGATGAAACGTTGTGTGCCAGTGTTTGCTTCATCAGAGTGGTAGAGTGCTGTTATTTCTATAAAGCTCCGTTCCGCCCACGAAGTTCTCCCTCTCGAAAAATCCGGTTTCCTTATCGCAGTCGCGCCAACCACCATTCCTCTTACCCGACTCCTTGCTAAGCAACATTGTTTGACCTGCATCTAGTCATAAGTGAACTGGCTATTTCACTGTACCTTCAAAGAAGAGAAGTTGCATGAAATGCAACATTTTTTTGAGAAGCGAGAGCATAATGATCATTTGAGTCATTATAGTTCGAAGAGAAGCGTTGGATCACCGACTCAAGCGACTTCCTTCAACGATGTGGTGGGTGTCATGACATTGTTCTTTTAATCTGTGTATAATAAGTTCACCTTGACTTTTGTTGTTGTTGAAATTTTATTATTTCTCGAATCGAGCTGTAATTACTGCGCTTTTGCTTTATTTTTCTGCGGGTTTGAGCCTATCTTGGGGTTGCTAGTTTTGCGAATATCAGCATCAATTTGACTGTAATTCACATAGTACTCTGCCATGAAGAAATAGTGGGCGGTAAGTAGAAAGTTATAAATTATTTTACTTTTTTCGAGAATTCTAAATACTTCGCAGTTCTATAAATTAGGATGCCAGGTTTTATATATATATATATATATATATATATATATATATATATATAATTTCAAAAGCTGCAGTGGAATTCTGCCGCTCTCTACTCCGTCCGATGAATCTGCTAATATTTTTTCTTCTTGGCACTTTTAGTCGTTAATTGACAAGTAGTGTGGGAAATTTGGAAAAGACATTTAGCGCAGTAGTTAGGGTGTCATCCAATACACATGTGATCGTTGGATCAATGCCGAGCTGAATACAAGGCAAGCCAGCAATCATCCCATGATCGGCGAATTGATGCCGGACTTATCTGAGAGGATAAAAACCTTGCATTTCATAAGGTAATTATGACTCATTAGAACGACCAAAATTTGAACAGTTGCCAATCAAATTACCAATGAATGAACTTTTTCGAGGAAAAGCTTTTTGTACATTTCGAAGTGCAGAATATTTCTAAGTAGTTCTAACTGCTTTTTTCTGTTCACACCCGTAATAACATTTGAGTTGAATAAATTATCAATTGAGTAGAGGAAATTTATGACAGCTTTTCTTCATATCAAAATAAACCATCAGTAACAAGTTCGGCTCTGTAGAGGTCATACCGGACACAATGTCCAATTACAAATGTCCTTATTCTGTGTTTTTCCTTTGCCATTTTTTGTATCTGCACATTACATCAAATGGATCTGATTCATTAAAGTGATTGCAATTAAAATAAGAGTCGACTGCTAGGCAAGTTACCTCTTTCTTTTCGACGGCAGATCTTTCGACTAAAGTTTTTTTTCGTACATTCCTAAGTGGAAAGCAGAGTTTCTTAGCCGTCCACCGCCCTAGTGTACGTCTTGAATATGTTATCGATTGATTACGAGAATTTCAGAAAAACGGTTCTATGCACTGAAATAAACTATCAGAAAGAATGTGATCCCCATATTGTTCATACAGGTCGGTCGGCAAGCCTTTTTGGTAGCATAGAATACACACCGTACGTTATGTGTTAATTCATTTCAACGTTTGCTTTGCTGTTCTGTAAGCGCCACTTACCGGAAACAGGTTTTTTCCTGAATTCATTAATGGTGGGGCTGCTGCGTTTTCTTTGAGTTTTGATATCGAATCGGTACATTCTTTATGAGTGTGTAGTTTTGACTTTGTTAGCTTTGCTGTGATTTCATAGAAACTTTAACCCTACAAATGTAATGTATCAACCATTTTTGCCGCTTGCCTGGTCGAAAGTATTCTGTCGAATCTAAGGTTCGTGGTATTAACACTAAGAAGGTTACAAAACGCTTATTGTTTTTAGCTACTTGTGTATGCTTTAGCAGTTAAAGCAATGGTCTAATGCTACCTACAGCAACATGTTATTTAAACAAAAGCATACGTGCTGGTGCGGGCGACTGTTTGCTAAGACATGTCAACAGAAAGTCTGCTGAATAGTGAGAAAAAGGAGGCAGTTATTTTAACAGCTGTAGAAATTCCATTATAAGATTTCTTTAAAACCGCTGTTTCTTTCTCGAATATTCATATATACGGTACCTTGTGAAGAGAAACGGTAAGAGTGTTTCAAGTGAAACCACTGTAAAAATGAGTATCGACTTCAGGCAATATTGGTCGCCGATTTCTAAACCTTGTATTTCGTTTAAAACTTAGACTCAGCTTACAGCATTTCTCAGATGAGAGTTGCAATTTCCGAACTGACATGGCTTAATCATGATAGCTTTCAAGAACATCATTTGAGATTGTGGATCGGTTGCAAATAGGGAAATATTGTGTAAAGAAATCCCTGTTTTTATACACTTTAAAACATGGGATCGTTAATGCTTCTTATATGATTTATAATTTTAGGACCATTTTATTCTGCGTAAAACATGCACTTTGATCTTATTTACCAATAGATTTTCTAAAGCATAAAAATGGGATGAAGTGTTCGACATTCATCGGTTTGTTAGGATTGGATCATGCATTCGACTTCTTTATGTGTTTTAGAGGTGACTGAATTCATAGTACTTCTACTATGACGTATAATGGCCATTCGAGGTATAAGTTACTCGCACATAGATTTGGTACAGATTTACCGACCTGTGAGGAAGTGAGAGGTTGCTTTGTTCGGGTGCCTGATCAGACCAATAACCACGTGCGTATTCCATGGCAACTCTAAGCAATGTGCTATAAACTTTTCTAGGTCTGCAGAAAAATGGTTCATTCCGTAGCCTTCATTATGCTCTAGAGCACTTTATTCTCTGAAATATACTACCAGTTAAATTTGATTGAGACTATTCCAGAATTGCGAGACTGAGCTTGGATAATAAACTTTGAATGAAAGTCAAGAAGAACACAATTATGTAGTGAGTTTCAGCTTGGTGCACGCTCGTCTTCACATGATCCATTACTTGCGGATTCGAAGATTGGAACGATGAATAGCGAATACAGCAGTAAACATGGCATATCGACCATTCCTAAGGGCGACTGTGCCCACTGCGACAAACCAATCATCGGGCAGGTATGTTTTGATTACTACTGAGCACATTGCAGCAGTTCGTGCTTAGAAATGAAAATCGGTTTCTTAACAAGCCATTAATTGACATCTAAGCAGGTATGCATAGGACGGTTGCACTGCTCGTGATCAGAAAGACCTCACTAATGCGGCGCGGCGATAGTTCCGATAGTCAACTTTGTTCTTTTAGTTGTTTTCCTTCTCCAAAACAGAAACGTGGCAGCAGTGAAAAATCTTACGAATCGCTTGCGTCTCATAGTGTAAAGGACATCTGACTGGTGTATCCTTTCCATCTAGGTGTATACTGTCCACATCGTAGACTGTTTGCCTTGTAGAATGTTGGCAGATGATCATATTGTTGTAGAGCTGTCACGTATGTGTGTATTTCATGTCTCGAGTATCTCTAACCAAGCTCCGTCAAGGCAACTAATTTATTTTCTTGTTCAGCAATCGCGAGGTTGTTGTACAGCATACATTTACTTCCATAGAAAAACAATACGATACAACATTAGCTGACGTTTCGGCGGTATCGCCTTCTTCAGAGCCTGGGAGGGTATACTGATATACCGTTTACTACGTTAAACGCTTCGATAACACTTACGAAAAGACGGAAAATTCTGTGGCAATTACATGACTAACAACTTCTCGAAACACTCACCGCTTTTTTCGTGATTTCCAATGAGAAAGATTAATTAGAACAGCTGATTATAGTCGCACATGGTTGATGAGTGCACCATCCCACATCAGAAATTGCTGCGAACATACGGGGCCAGGTCGAGTGTGATCTTTGGGCATTCCTCCTTGCTATTCATTGTAGGTTTTTTTTGGCATTTATCTAAAATTCCTCAAGAAGTTTGCGCGTTGGTGTTTTAGTCTCCTGTGCGAGGATACTGACTTTTTTTTACATCAAAATCATCTCCGCTGTGCTTTTTTATCCTTAGCGCGCCTAGTGGGGTACTTTGTCTTGGTTTTCGTTTGCCATCTAGGTGTTCTTTTAAACGGATACACAAAGGTCTGCCCGTTTCGCCAATATATTCATCTCCGCAATTGTTACACGAGATCAGGTATATCGTACCTGAACTCATGCAATCACCGTCCCTGCCGTAAGGGCAAATTACGCCATTTGTTGTTTCACATAGACGGTCATATAGGCCATTGCGAGCTAACTGATGACGAAGGGTATTCGGTGGTCTTTCCATCGCTACTGATTCCTCTAGACTTGACCTTCTCAAGCATCGTTTTATAGCTACGCTTACTTCATTGCTAATAAAGTGCAACATAAACGCGACTGCTTTATGGCCAATTGTTTCGTTTTCGAGCGTCGCCCTCTTTCTAAACTTATGCCATGCGGTAACTATTTCGTAGCCATTGGAGATGCGTATTTGCCGAGCCAAGTGGCGCGATTTTTCCTTTAATTCCCTGATTGTGCACACACAGGTGGCTGTTCGAAACATGTTTCTCACAAGCGCTCTCTTTGTGTGTGAAGGGTGGGAAGAGAGGAAATGAACAAGGATGTTCTTGTTACTTGGCTTTCGATACCACTTTGTCATGTAACCGCTACTTGGCTGGCTTGAACGTTAAGAAATGGAATCCAGGTATTCGGTTTTTCCCGGATGAATTTAATATATTCAGACTGCTCATTTAATAATTCAAAGCATTTGTCCATATCCTCCTAAGTAGAGAAGATGGCAAAACAATCATCTATATATCTGCAGTAGAGTAGCTGCCTGGGATCGATAACCGGGGCTTCTGTTTCAGACATGAACGCAATGGCGAGAGTTGGTGCCAACCGCTGTCCCATTGGCAACCCTCTAATTTGTGCGTAATAATTCCTAGACCATCTGAAAATCGAGCTGTTTAGACACTCTTTATCAGCTGTTGATCTTGTAATGGCTATAGAATTTTTCGTCGTGTTGTGTTATTGAAGCGTTTGGCCTAGTAGATTGTATACTAGTATACCCTTCCAGGCTCTGAAGAAGGTGGTACCTCAGCTACTGTTGTATTGTATGGTGTTTTTCTATGGAAGTAAATGTACGCTGTTTAACAACCTCGCCATTGCTGAAGAAAACAGCCCATTCATATTCCAAAGCCGAAGTTAATAGAAAGTCGATCCTGGGAACTGATTTATTTGTTCTTCAAACGTGAGTTATAAGGTAAATCATCATTTTTACGTTCTTTTATATGGACTCAAACTTGTTCATAGCTGCTGCAGTCATTAACGTCAATACTTTTGCCTTGGTTATTTACAGACAAGATGAAGATATTTTGCCTTAAATGAGTTCTAAGCTTTATTTTAAGCATCCGAAATATTCCTAGACATTCATCGTGATGTTCCGCGATAATTTGACATGTACTTCCTTGTGTTGACAAAGTTTCTCGAGGTTATTATTATGTAATGATATCGAGTTCAATAAGGTGGAGTGGGATACCGCACGAATCAAGTGGGCTCACCCGGTAGTGCCCTTTCATATGGAACGGTTATTGATCTATTGTCATCCAATACAGTCAGTTTTCATCGTTACATTTGTCGTTCTCGTGTTGATATTAGATTGCATGTTCCATGAATACTTTGCATGTTTTCGAACCGAGATTTAATGCGTTCTCTCACAAGCAGCAAACAGGTTTCTACAGGTTGATCCTATATAAAGGATAAAGAGGATGAAGCTGTCGGCGTCGACCAATCCCAAAGGTATGCGCCGTGAATTCGACTTCATAAAATGTCATTCGAGCTGATTGAATGCATATCTGGCCTTTACAATGACTCACGGTTGCCTACCGATGTATCGAGCCAGTGCTGCTATCCTGCCAGACAAGTCTGGTACCAGTTTGCCTACGCCGGAGGGATGGAAGGCTTGGTGGACCATAGGTGCGGGGATCGATTCCATGTGTCTTGCATGGAGCCTCCGACCACTGCGTTACAGGCGCCTCTTTCCAAATTTAATTAAGTTATGTTTGAATATAATTGAATTTCCAAAAACTTCTTGCCGAAGCTTAACTTCTTAAACTAGTCTGCAACAAAATACATTCGGTAGGTGTTGGTCTTAAAACAGTATTCCATTCTTTGCATTTCATAACGCAGTTTAACGTGGGTTTTCCTTTTCTGCGACAGTATTATTGCAATCTAGGTCGTTATTGCGTTGGGAAAAATGTGGCACCCAGAACATTACACGTGCTGTGAATGTGGGCTGGAGCTTGGACACAGAAACTTCTTTGAAAGGTGAAGATCAACAGACGAGTTTTTTTTTACATTGCCAATGCATTCCTTATATTGTGATTGGATTTCAAGCAATTAAATAGTTGAAATGTTTTCACCAACACTTACTGTCTAATACCCAATTTCGCGTGACTTCTGCATCCAGATGGCCCATAGGTTTACCATCTACGTGCCATGAATCGGATTGAACTGATGCCGGCCACTCTGATCTCAGATACGAATCGCATATCCGCGTTAAGAGCAGTCTGTGTGCTCTTTTGGTCTGTTTGTTTTTGTTTGGTCTTACAGATAGCAATTTCAATCGTCGAAGGAAATAGAGACATCTTAGTTTCCTGCTCGTCTTTGATAATTTAGCAATCTGTGTGTAGTTTTCAACAGCAGTAGTCTATGGCAGAATGAACTAGCTCATGTGAGAGTGGGTTCTTGTACATTATTATGTATAGAGAATGGCTTTTCGGGACTGACATCCTCTACACTAGTATGTGTTTGATGAAGTATTGGTTGAGTACAAAAAGTACGACGAAGAACTTCCATGCGAAAAAATAGCCTGCCTGAAAAAAAACTGAATGCTTGGATATTTGGATACCTGAACTGGTCGTCAGCGTGAGTAGGATGAGTCCTAGCACTCTTTCGTTTCGTTCTTTATGATTGCCATTTATTAATATAGCCTCCTTCGTTCATGGTGACATGTGCTAATATCGTATTCCCATCTGCTAAAACACGTTAACCCGTCGTGTGGTCGTTCCAGGGATGCGTGCCTAGGGTACACTCCGTAGTTATTTTCGTCCATCTGTCATTTGTTATTCTCATGATATGATTGGCGCATCAATATCCCGATGTCGACATTTGATCTTCCGCATCTCGAAGATGGAATAAATTTCGAAAATCTGAACTGTGAATTCCTGGTAGCAGGTTATATTTTGGAAAAATCGTTCAGATTTTTGTGTGGATTATGCACAAAATTGTTTGTGGGGTTGAAATATCAACTGACGACTCTCCTACAGAACAGGGCGCTGGAAAGTGTTGAGGTGAAAAGGTGAGCGCGGGGTTTCGGGTCCATTAGTTCGTCGGTGGTTATTATAGGGCCGAAAACGCGGTCCATGCTGTTCTGCTGCTTCCTCTTAATTTCTATTCCTCGTTTTTCACCATATTCGCCGAATACCTAAAGTACAAATGCGAGGTGATCTCTTTCATCAGGAAACCATCTACTTCGATTTGTTCACCCACAGACCGTGGCTTCTTCGCGAACAGCCTTCGTTGTGTTCATTGAGCACCGGCTTCTAATTCAATGGTAGTTCTCGAAAAGTTAGCAAAGAAGCAAAGGATTTATTAAAATGAAAAGTTGCAGTTAAAAGTTAAAACAACGTTATCAGCAGAACGAAGGTTTGATAGGAATTTGCCATCAGTGCTTATGCCTTTCTCATTCCAGTCGAGCGGCTTCAATGTCCACTATAGTTCGACAGTAAGCTCCTCTGGTGATATGGTATCCATGATCTTATCTCTTTCTGTGTTGATCGTTAGCACTCGATGAAAACTGTATTTATGTCTTGCAGGTGGGTCGATTGCTAGAGATCTTATATGGGAAGTTGTTACTCTTTATTGGACGTTGATAGGATTACATTCGTTTCGACGGTCTCAAACGTTTTTTCGTTGTCGGGAAACGTTAGGGAAAGCGCAGCTAGTACACACACCATACTTCTATGACGTGTGTTACGGTTTTGATGTCGTTCATGCAGCAGAATTTCTGTCCAAATCCTACCTGCTCAACTAATTGTGCCTCCACCTAAGTCGTTGACAAGCTCGATAAGATAATCTTCGTTAAGTTCTTGCAGAGTAACAGTAGTTTCTCTTCGATCATTTCAGTTTGGGCAGTATAACTGTGCGTGACTTCCTCCATTGGTGTGGGATCGTTTCCTTTCAAGATCACATAGGCTGCGAGGAGCACATGTTTTTTTTGGATTTCAGTTTGAAGTAGGTCATTTGTGATATTATCAGGTCGTACAGGCATGGCACTCTTCATTTTTCTCGCTCTTCAAGTCGAACGCCAAAGAACATAGTCAAGGGGTTTTTCTCCAGCGGTTATTTTAGGGGCCGGGATTGTGGAACTGAAAAGCTTTATCGGAAACTTCTCCGTTATCATTTCTATATCATGTTGGAATGTAGCAGTGTTCACATCTCCATTCATCAGAGTTAGCAGCGGCCCGCTGTAGTCACAGACGTCTTAACAGTATTTCTTCAGACTAGTTTTTACTCGTTTTTTTTTAGAATTGCTTCCACATGTTTTTCTGGCTGTACAGATATAAACCGTCATGCAAAGTTCTTCTACAACTGATTTTGTTCTCAGCAGCGGTTGATGTATTTCAGTCAACTCAAACTTCACCTTTCCTCTCTAGTAGAACAACTCAGTGCCAGTGAAAATGTGGTCCAAATTTCTTGATTGAAGAATTGATTCATATGTGGCACAGGTTTTATGTTCGTCGATAAACAGCTGCAACTATTCGGTTAACTCCTTGATTGGCAAGTCTTGTATGGGTAGGGTTTCCTACAGAATGTTCCCCTCTTGTACGACTTGCTTTTTCCTTTTTGATAGATAATAAGAATTCCTTAGTAAGTTACAACTGGGTCAAGCCCTCACACTAAAAAGGCAATGATCAGACTAAATACAGGTTGATGGAGCCATGAATGCTGTCAATCTCCTCATGTGTTGTACCATTAAGTGGTTGTCATATTCAACGGCGAATTTCTTCAAAAAAAATTTAATTTCCGTGTCCCTGTAATAGCTTTTTCTGGCCTTTCGTATTCCGGATTTCAAGTCTTTAGGAACAAATTTGTTGAAGGGTTCATCTATGCTTCCTCAAGCTGATAGTCCACCCCAATTACTTCATACTCTTCGTTTTTTTTTCTGCACTGATCGGTAATGGCAATTGATGATATTCATATCGTTAGAATGTATGAGTTAAAGCCAAAGCCTGACGAGGCAAGGGAAAGCATCTCGTACGAATCGACAAGGTGGGTAGTGGTGGCGTGGACGACAAGGCCTACGCCGTTGACATTTCACGATGCGCTTTTTCTGTGTGAATGACAAGGGTGGTATCATTTAATTGGTATCATCAAGACAACTATTTGTTCTTTTATGGTAGATACAGGGCTACACACTGTTTCAAGTCGTATCATGAGCGTGTTCGTTTGATCTTGTTCTGATGACGTACTATGCAACACGAGATTTACTTGTCTCACAGATGTCTTGCTGCCTGACGTCATAGACAGGAGCTTCATTTTTTCCTAGAGTCCTGATGTAGCTTTACCGGAGCGTTTTCAGATCATCATAGCAGTGTAGGTTTTCGAAAAGCTCTGTATCGGGAACGAGCCCTTCGATTAGCCGTTCTACCATTTAATTCGGAGATGGTGTTTAGCTCACGTGTAAATATTTGGGTGGGAATAAGAAATTGGCCAATCACTCAAGAATGATAAATCAATTTAATCCTTTAAAATGAATCGAGCTCAATTCACGTCTGATTTTCACTGTTAAGCAGGATGTTTAGCAACAGCTTAGTGCACGTTTTTTTTCTTTTGTATAGGAATGGTCGTGCGTTTTGTGAAGAGGACTACCATAATCTATTTAGTCCAAGATGTTCAAGTTGCAACGGGCCGATAAAAGATGTGAGTTTTCCAGCAAGTGTTTTTCCAAATATAATTTATAAATAACGTGGAACAGTATTCTTTAAGTAATACATGTCTCAGGCTTTAAGTTTAACATACCGCTCTGTTCGGGAGTTATGCACAGTTACAGTTCCCAGGACCGATTTTCTATTAGCCTCAACATTGTTCGGTAAGTCAGTGTTTATTGTGCAGACACGAGATTGTCAATAACAAGATTTATTCAATGCAGTACTAGCTGATGTTGCTGTAGATTCCCCTTCTTTATAATCTAAAAAGATCAGGTTTACTATAACTTACGCAACCAAACACCTAATACTTTTAACAGACAAAGGTTAGTACGTAATTTTTCTGAGAGGTCAGCCATTGTTTTATAGGATAAACTTTGTTATTGACAACTTAGTGTCCACTAAGGAATGAAACACTGGCTTATGCGCAGTTGTTTGTTATTCTTAGTTTTTGCAGTCGTTTTTTATTGTTTATCTTTTTTTGCTTCTCACCTTTCCTAATCTTCTCTTTACGAATCTTCTGTTTTTGTCACATTTCATATTATACTGAAAGCTATTTCCAAATAAAGGTTGCGATGAGATTTCACAGGTTACAGGCCGTACCCACTCCTTCCTCAAGGGTCCATTTCACATGTTTTATTTCCCATGCAGTTTCATCTCTTTCTTTTTATTCACGATTATCATGTGGTGTATCTATGCCAAATATTTAATAAGTTGAAAATGACGTTGAATTAGCGTATATTTTTAGCGCTGTGTTACGGCTCTCAATAGGAACTACCATGTACAATGCTTCACATGCTCGGAGTGTGGACGAGAATTTGGTGATGAAGGATTCCATGAGAAAGTATGCAAGTATTGTCATGACTAGTCATTTTGGAAAGTCCATCAGTGGTTGGTGAAAGCAGTAGTATTGCTCTTCTTAAACAATAGATAAAGAGGCGACACTAATTCGTGGGGGTTTGGTTCCTTTTTATGAACTGTGTTTGTTCTTCCAATTTTTTATCTATAAATAGCGAGCAAATTATTTTCAAATAGCTGCTAAGAACATTTTTTATGACACGACGAAGTTCTGCAAAATCTGTGCTTACGTATTGTTCACTGAATCTAGAATTTATATTTCCAGAGATATTTGGCTCCTTTCTTCCATATCTAACACTAGGTTCTCCTCCTCTGGAATTAACTAATTCTTTTCTTTCTAGTAAACGTTACTGTGGATTTTTAACTGTCAATTTAGTGGTACCCGTTATAAACTGGTGCGTTTGGTTTCAAGAGATAAGTCTCAATCTCAAATGTCTGACTTAGCGCAATTGAATAATGAGCTTGTTACAAAGTTCCAAATTTACTAATGTGTTATGTGAAATGACGAAGAACAAGTAGAGAATTTTTTCAGGATGGGAACACATATTGTCGTCGTGACTTCTTTCGTCTTTTTGCACCAAGATGCAAGGGTTGTGAGAATCCGATCGCCAATAACTTTGTCACTGCTCTGGGTACGCACTGGCATCCAGAATGCTTTGTTTGCCAGGTAAGTCGAAGCTTTGTTACATTTTTTCAAACGCTTTCCTTTGTAGGAATGATACTACTACTGTGTGGTTTTGATAGCAGTAAAAGTGTTGCTTAGCATGAGGTAATTTTTTCTTTTGCTAATGGTCCGTAGTATCATAGTTTCGAATTAGTTTCCAACGTAGGCAACAAGAAAGCCGTTTTTGTCCTTCTGTGAACAAGTATTAGTTACTCCGGAATTCCTTTCTAACTCCATCTGTTTTTGTGTATTATACGAGTCTCTGGGTGAGATAGAAAAGTATGATTATCGCATCGGAAATGTATTTTCCGTAATGGCAGTTGCTAATTTAGGATATATATTTACTTGCATTATAACCTGTTCCTAAAGTATAGTTGGAAGGCGCCTTTAGAGAAGCTGCACGAAAATTTGCTTACAGTACACCAATTGGATTGATTTTAGTGAATTTGTTGAGAAAATAACGACCTTGAATAACTTTGGGCCAACGTAGCTCCAGTCTTATTAATCTTATTGCTTGGGAAAATTCATTATAACGTATATAGAATTCATCATAGATCATTGCCAATTAGTCACAAATTTTCTTGTTCTTCCAAGATGAAACTTCATTTTTCTGGAACTTGAAAAACTTATTTTCTCGCTTTCGAACCCTATTTTCTAATGTCAGAGCAGTTGAAGAAAGAGATTTCATCCAGCAGGACAGTAGTGTTATCCAATTTACTATACGTAGTCAGTTTTTTGAAATCTATGTGATGTTTTATGGTTGTTCCCTTTTGCTATAGATGTGTGGCAGTTCGTTTGCTGGCGGCACATTCTTCGATGATGGCGGTCAACCTCTCTGCGAAACCCATTATCACGAGCGACATGGTTCCCTTTGTCACGAATGTCGTGCACCAATCTCCGGGCGTTGTGTAACCGCTATTGGTAGAAAGTTCCATCCAGAACATTTCCGATGCTCGTATTGTAATAGACAACTTACAAAAGGGACATTTAAAGAAGTAGATAGACGACCATTTTGTAGCAAATGTTATAATAATACGTATGCACTAACATAAGTTCTCTTGTTTCAGCTCGCATTTGTTGTTATAGCTATATTCAACTAGAAGTGGGCAGAGCTGAATGAGTAGGTGGTGTGTATCAATTCGGCAATGAAACTGCTCGCGTGCGTTATGCAGTCGGCAAATATTGCGAGCTACCTCTTCGTTTATGTTTAGCTAAGAATGACGTGGTTGTAGTCTTCATGACGTAAACGTGCAATAACGCTTGATTGAGGCAACTTCTCACCTTAAAACTTCAATTAGAGCGAAAGTTAGTCACAATTGGTATTTCTCATTAGTTGGTCTACTTAAGAAATTTTCCTTAACGTAGTGCTTCATGTTGCCTCACATTTACACCGTTTAGCGGATTTTTTTTCGCATTAAAATTTTATTACGTATAGATTTTTTTCCGCGACTGTTTATAATTTTCTGGTTGGGATGTTGACGACAAAACAAAGTCCAATGCATATCCACAGGGATAAAAGGTTAAGCATAACACCAAGAAGCCATCAACGAAATTAAGATGTGGTCGCGAATGTGTTGATATCCCAATTCCACGCGTTTTTCCTTCCCATGTTCTGGGTTAAGTAGGCATCTAAATGACAATACGGTCCAGCTAGAGGCTCATCATCCCTGCACAAATCTGAATGGCCCACATGTGCGTTGTACTTTATAGCAAGAAAATTCCTGAACTCTCACAAGACTGCGTAGTTGGATTACCCATAGTTCTATAGTCTGTTCATTTGTTGTGGATTAATGGAATGTATTGCTTTCACCAGCACTAGTACGTTTTCTTCGTTGATGTCGCATTTGTATCGTGTAATTGTGCGTTAACAGAATGAGCTCAATGTACTCATTTTTTGTCATGCTTAGTCCGGAATGGTTCAGTTATTGTTGGCATTGTTTTTGTGAACTTCATTATATTATCTGCCAATTTTGTTTCTGTTGAAAACCAACGTCAGACATGTTTGATGTTTAGAAGAGATGAATTCGCACAGAAGTTTTCTGCGTCTAAACGAAACAAAATTTCATTTCGTTTATGTTGTACCTGTGCACTATTGTTTTAATGATTCAGGGTGAAGATCACTTTTCTCGCATGTGCCCTATGAGTGTAACGTACTTCGAAGAGGAAGAGATTTATTGATTCATTGTATTATATGTAAAATTAGTTAGTCCATGTAGCAAATTTCTTGTCACGCGCATCGCTTATGGTTTCATGAATCCTGATATAGTAGTTAATTTTCTTCTACAGTGTTTTCGAATAAAAAGGTAAAGTATAAAGTGTTCGGCATTAATCAATTGCTGAGAAACTCACCATGCATTAGACATCACTAAGCGTTATTAGAGGTTATACAATACACATCTAGCCTACAGAATAACTTGCGGTGACCTAACGATGTCCGTGTCGCTATCCCCTAATATGAGTTTTGGTACCAATTTTACAACCCCAGACGTATTGAAGGTTTTGTTGAGCCCGGAACATGCGATCAAATCAGAGGCCAAGTATGTATTGCTGGGGATCTCTAACCACAATGCCACACTCGTGTTTTCGCTTTCATACAAGCAACGGTGGAAAGTTGAATGATATCTACCTATGGAAGAAAGGTTTTCAGTGGATCAGCGGTATTGCATTGTCATCGACTAATAATGTGTAGTGTAGTGATCGCTACCACAGTGGGAATTGCGGCCTCGGTGGAATCCCACTTGCTAGGTATCAAACCTCTGATTTACAAATAACAGGAAATCTCGATATTTCAAATGAAATTTCGTTTGGTCATCATTCGTGATAATGAGAGGAGAATAAACCTTTAACATGTGCTTGAACCTGCGCAGGGACCTGGGTACTTCCGTCAATTAAAGTTGTAAGCAAGGCAACGAATAGAGGTGCTACTACTTTTAAGGGCGGGCCATCAAGAAATCTAAGCTAATATTAATGTATCTATACGAAATCGATCGTGTTTGAGCGTGATGTTTACATCAACTATACGGATCTCAGTACTTCTCATATTCGATTCGTTTCCTCGAATCCACCAGTGACTAAGGTTTCCCAACTTCTACCTGTAGGTTCTACTGTTACTTCTGGATTTTCATTTCACCTTGAATGCTATAGATTGGTGATCTAGTCGACTCTCCTTGGAGTCCTGAGATAGCAGAGTTAGACCGTTCCCACCTGTATTGCAGGAATGATTGTTTCCCGTACAAGTCCGATGCAAATTTCCCGACCCGGAAGGATAACAGGCTTCGTGAGCCCGGAACGGGAACGAACCAGCACCGTGCTTGTGATAACCGGCATCAGTCCCACTAGGCTTTCTTGCTCTTATCTAAGCTAATATTAAGAAAAAGTAGACAGTCATAGTTTTGAAGCAAAAGTAAGAAGCAATGTTGTTGGTTCAGTGGACATCAAAACACCTGTGATGAACACGTTAAATACCTGTTGCAAATGAATTCCTATGGAAGTTAAATGGTAGCGTAAGTGCTAATGGGGTTAGAAAGAAGCACGCGAGTAATTTCTTCGTTTTCTTTTCATGATACAACCATGTCTTTAAAAAACAAGAGAGTATGGGAATAGCAGTCAGCTCCACACATAGGTATATTCAAAACGCAATTTAAAAAAAACAAGATTGTTAACAAAGTAGCATTCCAAACCAGGGCTAGGAAATAGGCCTAGGAAGAAATACGTAGATAAACCACTGAAGCTTCATCATAGAATTGTTCAGAAACGTTTTAGGAAAGGGGGAATCAAAAAATAATAGATATCTCGAAGAAACTGGTCGTTGAAGAAAGGCAGTAAAATGTTCAGCCAAGTCTCAGATCAAGGTATTCCTTTGTAAGTTCATCTGCATCGCGAATCTCGAAATTCTATAAACTACTGAATTAGTAACGTTTTAGAACTGGCTCAGAGAAAGACAATTAGAAGATCCTCAATATCGCAGTGTGTAATACGTGAACCTCCGGAAGGGTAACTGCCTGTATGGATCTGATGTAGGGTCCAAGTTTTGCAAACATTTCAACAACCTATTGATTGTGAATTCGTCGTTTTCTCTCTCAGTAATCGCGAAGTTGTTAAACGGCATACCTTTACTTCCATAAAATAACACACATACAACACAATGGAAGCTGACGTTTCGGCAGAATCGCCTTCTTCAGAGCCTGTAAGGGTACACTAATATGCAACTTACTAAGTCAAACGCTTCAATAGCACAAACAGAAAGATGAAAATCTGCACGATAATTACAAGATCTACGGCTTCTCGAAAAGGCTCTGAAGAAGGCGATTCTGCCTAAAAATCGGCTACGGTTGTGTTGTATGTGTGTTATTGTATGGAAGTAAACGTATGCTGTTTAACAACTTCGCGATTACTAAGAGAGAAAACGACGAATTCATAATCCAATGCCGAGGTTAATAGAAATTCCTGGGTACTATCCCAGTGATTGTATTTCACATCATACCTTACCGCGAAAAATAATACTTACTTGGATACTTGAATAGTTTGTCTTCACTGGTTATGCGGAATCCAGCATAATTTCCACTTTTTTGAAGTGTTGCTGGTTCAGCCATTGTGGCCTTCTGGAGTCTCAAGATCAGCCTAGTCAAAGTCTTCCCCAGGTCGTCACCACCATGGGCAGTCGCGGCCCTTGTGGATCAGAGGTAAATTTGCTACCATGCGACTATTTAATACCAGGATGGTGGTTAATCCTGGTTTGGTTTACTCTTACTCTTAAATGGCCTTCCTAATGGAAGCACCGGAACCTTTCCAGTAGAGCCTCCCAAGCCGAGGAGTCCGGCGTTTTTATCAGGAGGGCTAACTAAGAGTAAACCAATACCAGGATGCATCATCGTACTGGTATCAGAAGAGTGAACTAGTGCCAGAATCCACCACCCGTCCTGGTATCAAACTAGTCGCATTGTGGCAAATCTCCCTGCAATCCACAACGGTAGTGATTGCCTATGGTGGCGACGACCTGGAGCAGACTTTGGCTAGGCTGACCTCGGTACCCCAGGTAACCAGATTGGCTAAACCAGCAAAACTCTAAAAAAATAGAAATTGTGCTGGATCCCGCACAACCAGTGAAAACGGACCATCCAAGTATCCAAGTAAGTAAGTAAACAAAAAAGCCCATTTTATGAATTATAAAGTTCGCAGTAATAACCCAACATACTATAGATCTTGTATGTTTTGTTTCAAGAGATTGAGATTTAAAACATATCAGTAATTGCTCACGTTAGTCACTTCACATTCCCGCACAACGTTCTCCTTACTTCCCGCGTACATCATCTGCAATTCAGGGGAACAACCTAAATACTAGGAAGTTGGTAAACGTAGCGAAACACTTTCCCCGACACTAACCTTCAGGGCTATAGAAAACGAGACACATTGGATATGACAGGCGTCCATCCGCATGACGTAACACATAGCTTATCAGAACAAAACGTGGTTGCTGTGAAAGCTCTTTACGTATTTCTTCAATAGAGCATTCCTTAAATTAATGCTACTTAATGACTACTGAAAAGTGCCACTAAAAAATGAAACTTATTAAATGTTAGGTGCAAAAATTCTCTGTATAAGCAAAATTGTAGTTCGAAGTAATTCGAAAAATCCACGACTCATGTTGCTGGTACAAAATCTTAGTAAATTGTTCAAAAAGTCCCTCTGTTTTACCCACATCTGCGAATTTTGTTTGAACACGTTTTCTCAATAAATACTAACTTCTAGTGAACTGTCCAGTATTATTTGCTGAGTGTCACGATCGACTTTCACTATAAGAAAATAGTTTTTATTAGAAAACACCCGTACATTTAAAGGAGTAAGCACCTAAATCCATTAAATGAACAGAAACTAGTGTAAGTAATGGAAAATGCAAGTGGAAACATAGTCGAAACCTCACAAATGAGGACATTCAACGACGTGCTCTTCGAGAATTTGAATAGTCGTAGCTGTTTCCTAAGATCAGCCGAAATGTCACATGTTGCAATAAATCGACTCTGAAACAACGACGTTTACGTATATATAATAAGTACATTGAGCAAAAAAGGATAAAAAAGCTCGGCGTTGATCAATCGCTATGTGAAACGCCGGGCATTCTACTTCATTAAGCATCGTTGGGCGTCACTTAATGCAATATCCGGCCTTTAGGATGATTCGCAGAATCCTACCGATGTATCGGGCCAGTGCTGCTATCCTCGCAGACAAGTCTGGTAGCAATTTGCTTACGCCGGAGGGATGGAAAACTTGGTGGGGATAGGATGCGGAGATCCACCACACGTGTGCGTTGCAGTACGCCTCTAATCACTGCGCTACACACGCCTCGAAAAATAATGTAGTAAGTATAAGAAATAAATTCGATAATTCGACTACGAAAATATGAAGTACTTACCATTATGATGCTATTTGAACAGCCAACACCACCTTAACTTTCTAAACGTCTTGCATGCTTCCAAATAAAATAGGAACTCTTGAGAAGACGAACAAGGTTAAGAGAACCTACTCTTAATAGACGAAAAAACCAGCTAAGAAAACAGCTTTGTTGTTATGAAAATGCTCGATGATCAACAATAAATATGCAACTTTACTAAGAAACATGGGCTTCATCAGGCAGATCTTTCCACTAATAAATGGAAGTTACAAAGAAATAATACGCTAATCGTATAGCACAGAATAAAAGAAAAATGAGAAGCAAGACGAGAACAATGGCGACTAGAGATGTCTAACGAGACATAGATCAAAATCTTCGACAATTAATCACCAAAACATTTGAGGCTACAGGTACCATGCTGCTCTATGTTTCCAACTGTTACGCCGTCCACTGAAAAACTCATTTACTCACTAAATCGGAGAAGAAAAAGAACTTCAGCAACGAAGAAGTTCCTCTAAAATAAGCCACAAGACCTTTAACTTAGGAGGGGTTCCTTCAAAGACTTCGCAAAAAACGTCTGGACTAAGTAAAGCAAGCAAGAATAGTTTCAAGAAAAATATCCTTACACGCTTCACTATTTCGCATACTTGTTACAACAAAATCGATGTACCCGAAAACAAATTTGTATCAAATGAAAAGGTAATCTGTTTTCTACCAAATGGATAACATAACAAATAAAGCGGTGACATGAAGCAAAAATTACAGTTATAGGAGTAGAACATGCAACGGAGTTAAATCTTCAGGAAAGAACTCGAAGAATCTACATAGATCCTAACTGGTAATGAATACTAATAATGACGGCTGTTTGCACGATTTGATTCCAATAACATCAGTACTACTGTATAAGCAGCACATTGACGTTGAAGTCAAAACGGTTATGACTGGTATTCACTGACGGAGTAACTAAGTTGAGTTGAGAGAGCACTGGTGTCATCAGGTACGTGTAGCCCATCGTTCCCATTCCGTTACCGAAATGTACACTACCGCCATGAAGAACCACTTCTCCGCGTGCTGCAACCAAGCAGTACTTCCTCGTTTCAGGAGGTCCACCATACTGCACTATCTGTGGAATCCACCTAAAAAACCAGAATCCGGACGGACAACTGAGACAGCGAATCTCAGCACTGACAATATTAAACACTTTAAAATATTAAAGCTGTATGAGGAAAACATACTGAATCAGCTCATTGGCAGAGGTACTTTGAAAAACTCGAAAAGAAAACCACTAACAATTACGAAATTTCTTAAAAGTTACAAGCCTGCAACTTCGCACTTAAGATCTAGATAAATCGAAAAAAAGAAAGAAAAAATAATCACTATGACGTTGCAAAGAACATTACATGACTAGCAAAAACGACTAAGGTCTACTTAAGTAGACAAATGCTACACTTGACAGCTCATTTCCCTATTATTCAAAATATTAGCAAGTCGTTTCGAACTTTATAATATTTTCCACCTACTTTAATCATTTAAGACTTTTACAGCAGACAGAGTGAGACTGAATAGCACGGCCATAAACTACAGAATGGAGCAAATCCGAAGCAATGAACCGAAGTTGAAGCAATGGGAAGAGTCGAACACTACGACAAAGTGTTCAGTTTTTTAAACGATACCTTATAAATCTCAAAAATACGAAAAGAAAAATCAAAAATTGGTGCCAACCAAGTGCTTGTTTTCGTTTCGCCACATTGCTGGAGTTCGACTATTCTCCTACTATAAAAACTTTTTTTTTCAAAACTAAATTCATATGCAAAAACGTCGATAACGCAAAATTCTACACCATCTTTTCGTGTTGATGCCAACAAATTAGCGTAATTTGGTTTATTTTTTGCTTACTTAACTAGTCTAATTCTTCACTTCGTAACCTCAAAAAGGTGGCTGATATGCCACAAAACTTTCTCAACTTGAAATAGCCCGTTTTCAGGGCAAATACGCAACGTTTCATTGAAAAACCACTACTACGTTTCCATATCCACTTTCCGGTTTTTTATGCAAACACAAACAAAACTGTACTAGTCTACTCCATCCCGTTGTTCATGTTCATAGAATGTCACGCGGCCCATCACAACTGGTCTTCACCAGAGTAGGGGGCTTTGTGTATCGAAATTAAATTTGCCACCATACGACTAGATTTTAATTAATACGGAGATATCTGGCATTCGCTTACGGTTGCGTCCGATTTTGGATGGAAGTAATGAAGTTATTCCCGTTCTAGGATATGCTATGGTGTTCTTAAGGGTTCCTCAAGTATGCGTTTTTGTGGGTGGGTGGAACAAATTTGTGACATTTATCAGTGCAGAAGAATATTGAAAGAAACTCAGGGACAGATTAGCGACATTTTCTTCGATGCTTCAAATGTGATAAAAGATTTCCAACGCTGATGCAAATTTTGCTAACTGCGTGCCCTACCGTGAAAATTGTAGTGGGCAGGAAATAAAAAGTAAAACATTGTGAATTCAACTACAGCCTCAGCTTAACTGGGTTCAATGCCGATGTGGGCTCCCCAGATCAATCCCATTGACGGGTGATTGCTAATGGCGCTGATCGACAGAACTAGGTGAAAGACGCGAAACGAAGCACCCGTATGGTGTGGTGGTTACTCCCTGGAAAGGATAATAGCGTGTTCGTTTCCCACCTTAAACACCTGTGGTCCAGAGTTCTGGAAATATCTCAGCAACATTGTGGTTGTATTTGTTAACTGCATTAACATGAGATTTGCTAATATCGTCAAGATAATACATCGATTAAACATATATATATTGTGACGGTGGAGAAAATAATCTACGGCTTCTACTTCAATCACCTCTGTGATAATCCTCTACTGCCAATCTTGCTTTCCTGGACGGAATACATAAACAACTGCTCAGATCTCTCTATCGCTTTCAAAAGATTTTTAGTGAAGAAGAGCTTTTCTAGAGTTTAGATAAAGTGTTCAACTAATTGATCACGATATCCTACGAAATATAACGTAGAGAGGCCGCTCAATTTCCAAAATATAGAAGCTAAAATATAATGTAGGAATAAAGGTGACTTCACTATCCCAACGCAAAAAAATCACGTTTTTATATCCAGAGAAAACTGAGTGCCTCGTGAGTTAGACAACATCCACAATTTGTGTGGATGGACCACATTTGGAACTGAGGCTTACGAAGATGACGAAGATACAAAACTGACTTTAAAGTGAACTAAGATATTTGATAAAAAACTAATCTCTATATAATGATTAACAACCAAAAAGCATAATATACATCAAGTAAATAAAATGTAGAATGAGTTAATAGTATTTCAAGGCAAAAATTTAAAATCTGCGTAAGGAAAAATCTGTAAATGGAACAGACTCGATGATCTGTAGATCACGCATTGGATCAGATTCCTCTCCGGCTGGAATTTCGGCTGTAAAGACGACCATTCGACGGAAACTACTGTTGCGAGATGGCAAATTTGGGCTAAGTAGGACATCTGGCCGAGTAGAGTAATACTTCATATCTATACGTACACTTTAAATTCATATACATGTTGCAATACCTCATTGTTACCAACAGAACTCCGACTTTCGTGAACGCATTGTCACACTTGTTTGCTGGCAAATGGTGCGAACTCACGAAGCTGTGCGATCATAGTACGTAGTCGTAGTTTCAACTCAAACACATCAACTTCATCCAACGGTGTCGATCGCTGCGATTCACCATACGGATCTACGGCAACCGTGATTGTAACGAAATCAATCGTACGCGGTTTTGATAAGAATCTCGCTCTGAAATAATGGCTGGATCGAAAACTCACTCGAGAAATCTTACCATCTTCATACCAAGATTTGAAATCCATCCAAAAAACAACTAATTTTATGGTGATTGACTGGCGAACAAGTTTTTGTGAACTCCTCAACAATTCTGAATGATGTTCCATACTCATAATTCTTAGTTCAGTATATTTCCAGCATTTTCAGACCAAGTTATTTTCGCAGCTATACTATATGGACTTTTCACAAGTCAGATAACAATCATTAATATCTTTTTATTGGAAAACAAAAACCAATTCTTTAGTGCCATTTTTTCGGCCCTGAAAAATAAAACATATCTGCTGATCACGCACTAGTTATTTATGGTTTTCACACTAGAATATACAAACACCAACCCTATCTAGTATACACTAGATAAAATGTTATCAACGTACTCTTTGCAGTTTTGCACCTCCTCCATTGATAAATAACACTGACCAAGTTCACAAAGGATACCGTCATTATGTATTACTTCAGAGACCTAAAATTAGTTGCTGTTGGAAAATACAAAAGACGAAATTTGATTTAAAAAGTGGAACACAAGTGTTACACAAAAGTATCAACGAAAGAAACATAGTAATACTTTCTTGTTCATCGTTATCAATGTTACGACAGTAACGTTGAAGCTGTTCACGTCGCGACATTTCTGCTTCCAAGATACAACGGACAAATCTGAGACCACAGAAATATAAGTGTTTTTATACATGGTAAGTAAAACAGCAATAATGAGATAAACCTTAAAGCAGAGTAGTCCTTTACAACCAAGATGTATTTTAAAAGTACCGTACGAACAATACTATTTACTATACTGATTGGTCACAACAGCCGATCAGTAACTAGACAAATGAATGATGAAGTTGAACACCTGATGAAGTTAGTAGTACGCTTCTGGACACCATCATAAATGACATTACACCTCGAATCCTAGAAATTGCACCAATGAACAAAATCGCACACTTCTACAAGACGTTTTATTAATCAACATGTACAATAATCACACCTAAGAATATTAATAGCTTTGGAGCAATTTAAACCACTGCCTTTCATGTGAAACACAGGTTTGGCACATATGAGTCAAGGAGAAAAAAGCGCTTATACTATAGAAACAATGGAGTGTAGCGCGCCTTGGACAAGATAAACGGCAATTACGATACATTAATGATTTGAAATGAGAACCACCTTGCTGCCCTTTTGTGGCATTCCTAGAGATACCAACCGTATAAAACGATCACAGCACATTACAGCGATTCCACCGAAATGTTTATTTGATGGTGGAGGAGACAATCCTGCTGGTGGCCACCATCTTCCAACTCCCTTAACGGGCACCTTCTACTTCATACATACTCAATTACGGATGCAAAAAGCAAAACACACAGACCGAATATTAAAGTTACGACGGTTAGCGACAAAAAAAACTAACTGGTACCAACTTGTATTGCCATTGTACCCCCTCTGGATCCTTAGGGTCAAATATGAACAATATTGAAACATTTTTGTACCTGAAAAAAGAGTTTACCGCCATGATTTTTGTGTTCGTCTCTTTAACCTTCCTAGTGAACACGAACCACTGCCTCATTTCCTAGGAGTCGTCAAGATTGGGTGACCTCTTAACAATTTTGGCGCAGAAATATAGACTTACTCCTATTTCTCCAGAAACCATTTTATCTCGTTTCAGTTTGCCGATGGTGTTACACCTCACATATTTGTCACCTGTAGCATTCTAAAGAAGATAAACACGCTCGGAAATAGGCAAAAAGGAATCATATAACGGCATTAGCCTTCACCCACAAAGAAGGGTTTGAAAATTACTTCACTATGTCAAGATTGGTCGAATGTTGAATTTCAGCACTACTGCAACGTCTGTGTTGCAAAAGATCCTAACATTTCTATGGTTCGTGTTTTCTTAAGGGAACGTGTAGTGCATTGATTATGGGCGCCCTGCAATACACAAGGACTCGTTGGTTCGACCCAACGCCCCAGGTTCATCAAACCCATCACCTGTTCCAGAGATGGTAAATAGCAGACTTATAAGGGGATATAACCTGATGCATCAGTGAGTCACCATAAGACCTTATATAGGCCAGATATGGATTCGAAAAACTCTAACGACGCCTAGTGAAGTCGAATGCATGGTGCAATACTCAGGGATTAATCAAGGCCGAGATATTCTTTTAACCATTTTCTCAAGACGAGACAGTTTTCGCAACTGACAATCGGCAAATTTGACATATTTCACTGAAAAGAGAGAAGATAACAATTAAATGCACTAACATATCGTCATGTACATTCTCTCCAGTCGCTAAAAGGCAACCCTCGCGAAGAACGATTAACGAAGAAGACCCCACCACAAAACTGAAACATTGCTAAAACAGACTTCCTATCTTTCGCCAGAAAATAACACCGCATAAGAATCAAGAAACTGACCTTGGTATTGGAGACCTGGCCAAGTGATGCAACACACTGAAAACTTCCAATAAGAGTTTTAAAACCGGTTTGAAAACATGCTATTTTACCACCGGTTTGTTAAGGGAAAATTTCAACTTCATTAAAGATCAAAAATAGTGGCAAACATTGCATGAACTCTACAAAACAAGTGGCACATCTTCGATTATGTATCTATCACTTACGTAGGAAATCCAGGCAACGGTGCATGGAACCATCGCTTCGTCTGCATATCCAGAACGGAGACACGGTAGCTGATTTCGCATGTTGAAACTATACCACCTTGTACAATAAATAGATCACCATGCATACAAGATGCATGTCCAGCAAGATTCGGTCCGTCGTTCGTCGTCGCCAACTGAAACAATGCACTAATAAATGGAAACATCTAAAAACTTTTCTTTTCACTATGTGTAACATTTTACTCACTGCCTATTATTTTTTCACGGCAGGATATTACGCGAAATAGAGCCATAATGATACTGAGATATTTGCAAAATCTAGGACCTCATGTGAGCTAAGAACCTTAGATAACGCTCTCCGTGAGCTCACGTGCTATCCACTATACCAACCGATGCAATTGCTTTGACTTTCTCTCAGCCAGTTTCTTAGCTTAATGGTATTATCAGCAATGATCCGTTTTGCAAATATCGTTTCTTTAAAATTTCTGAAAATCGAATTAATTGGGACGAGGTGTGTAGTAGTCATTCGTTTCTTTGTTTTCCATTACCGTTGTTCTATTGTTCACTCCATTCACTTTGTCCATTGCTCTATCGTGACAACAAGGTATAAGAGTGACGAAGCGTCCCTGCAGTCCTGAGGTAGGTGCATTAGTGCGTTCTCATTTGGACCTCAGACAGTTAACTTTTTCTAGACAAGTCTGCCACAAATCTCCCGACCTCGGAAAGATCAGAGGATTGGTGAGCTCGGTGTGGGGTCGTACAGGGTTGGGGTACTGGTGGTGAACAGCATCACTACCACTACCCCACCGACTCAACCAAATAACCAGGATGCAATTTTAAAAAGCAGTTCGTTGCTACGTACAATTCTGTAAGCGCTCTTTCTTGTGTTGAATATGTGAAGTTCATTGAGGTGAATGGCATTCCTGTGACGCGGAAGAGGACGACAGCCGCCGTATATTAAAAGCTCGTCCTGAATAAACAAGTGATACGACCAGATCAACTTAATGTCGACCATCTTATAACTAACCTTATAAACAACCATAGAGCAAAGATATTTTGGCAAAGGATACGGAGAGGATGTCACTACGACGCGAGACCACTTCATAGATGTCTAAAAAATCATTAAATTAACAGCTGAAGTCTGATGTAAATTGATTTTCACTCACATGTACTACAAAACAGCTGCATCTGTGAAACTTAGACCATTCGCGACGCACGGTCTACGGTGCGAAGCAGTTCCTAGCAAATTTTATTAAAAACAAAACTTTACCTTGCTATTAAAGTCTATTGAGACGAAAAACTTTAGAAACTACAGACACTGGTCTATTTTTTCCTAGCGTATTACGAGGTTTTACAGAGCCCCAATATTAGCTCCTTCTACACATTTTCCTATCAAGGCTCATTTTTCATATGATAAAGAAATTGGAAAAGCGAGATTTCGTCCAACACAATACGACAATGTCCTCCAATGTTAATGTGCTGGATTTTCATTAGGATCTCAAGAAATGAAATTCCAACTTTTTTTTTGAAAAAATCGACTTCAGCATAATTTCAAAGATTTAAAGAATTTATCTTCAAAACTTTCTTTTTTACTCTGAACTCTGCTTCGCGACCTGGTAGAAAGTGGATAAAACGTATTAAAACATGCGTTTATATTGTTGAGCTCAAGCGAAGTTGGTAGAGATGTTTATTCGGCTAACATATCGACGTCTTCGTCTTCACCAGAGTCGACGGTCCTTGGTCATACTCACTCGATGACACTCTTTTATACAGGGCGGTTGTTGTTGATACGAATATCCGTTGATAACAATTTGTTTTTCAACGGATAATCCACCTTGCAGCAGTCAGTATTTTGTTAGTTAGCACGTAGGTCCATTGAAAAGCAAATTATTATCAACAGATAATCATATCAACACCAACCGCCCTGTATAAAAGAGCATCGACGTGTGATAATGGTTCGTTCGAGATGCTCAACTGAGAGAGATCCGGTTCGATGCCAGTTGAAGACGCCACATCGAGAGCAGGAACAACTGCGGACCATCGACAATGATCGTCGACTCTGATGAAGAAGACGTCGATATGTTAGCCGAATAAACATTTCTACCAACCACGTGTAACCTCAACAATATAAACACATGTTGATTACTATAGCATCGAGGTTAAACGACGGTCGGTTTCAAAACACGCGTTTCAGTCTTCAATAAGTAACATTTTGGCGAATTCGCCTTCCACAGCACCTGGCGGGTGCCATATTTTTAAATAGCCCCAATCGGTAAGCATTCCACAAGATTAATATGAAAGTCAATGCTTAAAGCTTAATCTGTTGAAAAGCAGCGCCCATATCCGTTTTCGGAGGAATGAAAACGCTCGGATCCTGTTTAGATAGGGTGAGAAATGAAGCCCATTTATATTTAAAGAAAACAATTTGAGATACGTTGCAAAATCGCGTGATTTTATACTCGGAAAAACCACAACAAGTTCTCACATTTTCAGGCACTGGAAGTTAGTACTTTCTTCATAAAAATCAAGGAGGGAGGAAACCCTCGTTATCACGCGTGACCAAGCACAATATCTCAGACTGGTATTTCAATGTGGTAGACGAGCACTACCCATCCTTGTGAATTCGGTGTGGTTGCTCTCCAAGTAGAATACTCAGTGGAAGATGAGTGAACAAGTGAGAGTGAGAATCACTCTAAGGGTAAAAAATGCGGAACCAACCGCCTAGCATGTTCTACTGTAATTTGTTTATTTGAAAGACAGAATAATGATGATAAAACCGAACCGCACGATGAAATATTTGAAATTGTGTGCCAACAAATAGTAATGTAGCATCTAAAGGGCGAACTCTCTGCGTAAAAATGCAACGACAAATACGAAGTTACTCGCCATGTCCAGCCTCCAGAGATCATTGAATGAAGCTGGTCCGCTTGAATCACCTTGCAGCCTCCAATCAGGTGCTTCTCCGCCAAACACGTACATGGCACATTCCTTCTCATGATACACCATTGTGTGCAATCCACGTGGAGCCATGCTATCTTCGTTATTGCTGCTCGCGAATCGGCTCCTAAGGTGATATAAAAATTGGAGGAAGCGGTTAAGATTTAACGTAATGCCAAAGATCTAATAGAAATAATCATTACTGCAGCTAAATGTTACGCATATGAAAATCGAAGAAAGGTAGCACCCAGCTTTTCACATAGCTCAATGAAAACGAAATATGAATATGCCGAATAAATAGCAAATTTTGAACGACAAAACTGGTAAATACGGAAAACTCGAAAAAGATTATACGGGCTCCAACAGTTTCTTCAAATGTAAACTACAGAAACCTAAGCAAAGTGAAAACGAACTGCAAATATCAGAAGACAAACCACTTGAAGAATCGTCGAGCTTGTACTTCATGTTCTACTTTCCTATACTCTTCTTTACACAGCGACGAAAACGACGGTATCGCTATGGCCAAATTGCGTAGATATGGATATCTGGAAATAAAGACGGTGTAGTAGTACGACACAAGACTACTGATACAAGTAACTGCCATGACCTCGGCCTTACTGATAAAAACTCACAGACAGTATTCACAACCAGGCCAGATACGTTTTTACAAGTAGTCCCAAGTATAAAAAAGTGGTAGGATGGGATAATTTCACGGAAGGCAAGGAGGGTCATTTTAAATTTTCATCCAATTGCGTTGCTGTCTGAGGTCTGTTAAACATTTGATCATGATGATTCTGAACGATTTCCATATATCGCATTTAGAAAAAAAAACTTAAGAGATCACATCTACCTATGCAGCGAAAAATTAGTGCATGCGCTCTCACTTTTCCTCATTACGAGTTTAATGAACTTTTTTTTAGCAAAGTTTAATAAAGCGTTTTGTTCCAATGATGTAATGTAAGCTTAGCCATAAACAACTCCTCGATAAGTTGATAAACTTATTAACGACAATAACTTCCGAGAGAGTCCTCCGATCACCTTGAAGTAAAATGAGAGGCCTCGAAACGAAGACTCGATTTAACAGATAAAACAGGTAAGGAGGAAATGAGGATAAATTGATAGAAAGGATACCCTCGGATTTTGCACATCATTACTCGCGTACTTCGTTTTTAGCTGCTTGAACTGTGTTTCAAACCAATTTAAACAAGGTTTGCACACTAAAGTCAACATTAACCGTAAACGAAGGCCTCCGAAAAGAAACATGTACGCAACAAAAGAGTGATGCCCATTGACCAGCAATTAGACAAGAGTAATGAATGCACCTTATACGTATTACAGCTATATGGAATGATATCAACCCAGAAACGACGGAAAGGCATAGGTTTATTTGGAACGATATCAAGCTGGTAATCGACCAGACATCGATGCATGACTATAAAAACAAAGACTTAACTTCCCTGCTATAATGACACATGGAGAATTAAGTGTATCGTGCTTCAAGCTTTAATGTAACACAGAAAACCTCGCAACCCTCAACTACCGGACAGAAATCAGTAAACCAACTAACATACCTCAACTGTTGGGCTTCATCAAACCTTGATGAGACGCACACATTATAAACCGACAACCACTACTTGAAGAAAAAAGTAAGAAACAATAAAACTTTATACTTTAAATACCTTAGAAAATGCAGGATTCGACGAACTGCGGTCGTTGGCAGGTTTAATATATCAAACACGTCACTACTCATTATCCTATAAGCAAGAACAAACAGTGCAAGACACAAAAAAAAGCATGGATGAAAATGGTAAACGAAACTAGAACCCTAGAAAACTGGTAAACGTCAGTCTTCACCTTCTAACTTAAGACCAATCTGGTATCTAACATGTTGGCTTAACCATCTTCACACGGCCATACGCTTAAAGCATATAGTTTCTAACGCATAAGTTACCTCACCCTGGACAACAAAGCCAATGAGGTAAAGTAAAGCATCAACATTTTTGACTGGTCTAAATACAAAAAAAATACAGAGAAAACTGTAAAATTCAATGCAAGACTGATTACGACGACCGTAACTACGGACGGTTCACTTTCACACAAAGCCCGCGCCCGAGTTTTAGCGCAACAGTGGCTTAGGACGACCTCTAAGGATCTTAACTATACAAAACGTTAGCCTCTCGCCGATATAAAAACGAAGCTGTCAGCGAACTAGTTTTTTGGATTATATCAGAGCCTCCGAAATAACATATGCTTTTCTGCATGTTTGGTCTGAAAAGTATTCGACGTTTTTCCTCACTAGAAGACCTGAGAGGTTTACCCTTCACGGACTTACTGTAGAGCATTTGCTCCATTGCTGGAATGTATATTAAATTAGACTTTTCTGAGCAAACCTTATGAAACACGTGTCCGCGCTAAACCGCAAAATAAGTGTTTTCCGAGCGAAATTAAGGAAAAACGTCTTGTGTGCGCTAAACCTAAGGCTTACCTGGCGGTTTAGCGCCCATAGTGCGATGTTCATGAGTTTCGCTCAGAAATCGCTCACCTCGCGGTTTAGCGCACAAAGCCTTTTTTGTGAGTTTAGCTCAGGAAACGCTCAACAGGCGACTTGGCGCGCAAAAGCTACGTTCATGAGTTTCGTTCAGAAATCGCTCACCTGGCGGTTTTCGCACGAAAGGCGATGTTAGTGAGTTTCGCTAGGAAATCGCTCGCCTGGCGGTTTTCGCACGAAAGGCGATGTTAGTGAGTTTCGCTAGGAAATCGCTCACCTGGCGGTTTTCGCACGAAAGGCGATGTTAGTGAGTTTCGATCAGAAATCGCTCACCTGGCGGTTTAGCGCACAAAAGACGATGTTCATGAGTTTCGTTCAGAAATCGCTCACCTGGCGGTTTTCGCACGAAAGGCGATGTTAGTGAGTTTCGATCAGAAATCGCTCACCTGGCGGTTTAGCGCACAAAAGACGATGTTCATGAGTTTCGCTAGGAAATCGCTCACCTGGCGGTTTTCGCACGAAAGGAGATGTTAGTGAGTTTTGCTCAGGAAACGCTCAACAGGCGACTTGGCGCGCAAAAGCTACGTTCATGAGTTTCGTTCAGAAATCGCTCACCTGGCGGTTTTCGCACGAAAGGCGATGTTNCAAAAGACGATGTTCATGAGTTTCGCTTAGAAATCGCTCACGTGGGGGTTTAGCGCACAAAGCCTTTTTGTGAGTTTAGCTCAGGAAACGATAAACAGAAGACTTGGCGCGCAAAAGCTACGTTCATGAGGTTCGTTCAGAAATCGCTCACCTGGCGGTTTTCGCACGAAAGGCGATGTTAGTGAGTTTCGATCAGAAAACGCTCAACAGACAACTTGGCGCGCAAAAGCTACGTTCATGAGGTTCGTTCAGAAATCGCTCACCTGGCGGTTTTCGCACGAAAGGAGATGTTAGTGAGTTTTGCTCAGGAAACGATCAACAGACGACTTGGCGCGCAAAAGCTACGTTCATGAGNGGTTTAGCGCACAAAAGACGATGTTCATGAGTTTCGCTAGGAAATCGCTCACCTGGCGGTTTTCGCACGAAAGGAGATGTTAGTGAGTTTTGCTCAGGAAACGATCAACAGACGACTTGGCGCGCAAAAGCTACATTCATGAGCTTCGTTCAGAAATCGCTCACCTCGTGGTTTAGCGCACAAAAGGCGATGTTCATAAGTTTTGCTCAGAAAACGCTCAACAGACGACTTGGCGCGCAAAAGCTACGTTCATGAGTTTCGATCAGAAATCGCTCACCTGGCGGCTTAGCGCACAAAAGACGATGTTCATGAGTTTCGCTAGGAAATCGCTCACCTGGNATGTTAGTGAGTTTTGCTCAGAAAACGCTCAACAGACGACTTGGCGCGCAAAAGCTACGTTCATGAGCTTCGTTCAGAAATCGCTCACCTCGTGGTTTAGCGCACAAAAGGCGATGTTCATAAGTTTCGCTCAGAAAAGGCTCAACAGACGACTTGGCGCGCAAAAGCTGCATTCATGAGCTTCGTTCAGAAATCGCTCACGTCGCGGTTTCGCGCAAACAAGGCCTTTTTCCTGAGTTTCGCTCTGAAATCGCTCACCTGGTGGTTTAGCGCACAAAAGACGATGTTCATGAGTTTCGCTAGGAAATCGCTCACCTGGCGGTTTTCGCACGAAAGGCGATGTTAGTCTGTTTCGCTTAGAAATCGCTCACCTGGGGGTTTAGCGCACAAAGCCTTTTTGTGAGTTTAGCTCAGGAAACGATAAACAGAAGACTTGGCGCGCAAAAGCTACGTTCATGAGGTTCGTTCAGAAATCGCTCAACTGGCGGTTTTCGCACGAAAGGCGATGCTAGTCTGTTTCGCTTAGAAATCGCTCACCTGGGGGTTTAGCGCACAAAGCCTTTTTGTGAGTTTAGCTCAGGAAACGATAAACAGAAGACTTGGCGCGCAAAAGCTACATTCATGAGCTTCGTTCAGAAATCGCTCACCTCGTGGTTTAGCGCACAAAAGGCGATGGTCATAAGTTTCGCTCAGAAAAGGCTCAACAGACGACTTGGCGCGCAAAAGCTACGTTCATGAGTTTCGTTCAGAAATCGCTCACCTGGCGGTTTTCGCACGAAAGGCGATGTTAGTGAGTTTCGATCAGAAATCGCTCACCTGGTGGTTTAGCGCACAAAAGACGATGTTCATGAGTTTCGCTA